ATTCACTGGAGGAAATATCATCAAGGCAGTTAACCCCTGGACAATTCCAGTCATTAGATACACAGTTCGAATAGTGGACTGGATTCAAGCAGAACTAAAACTCCTGAATAGGAAGACTAGAAAAATAATGACAATGAATCATGTCCTTCATTCTGGGAGCAACATTGACAGATTCTTTTTACGAAGAAAAATGTGTGGATGTAGAATGTTGCAAATACATTAGATGATGAAGAAAAAAGGTAATTGGAAGAATATCTGAAGGACAGTGAAGAAGGTGCACTGAAGCTAGTATACCAGGAAGGCTTCATGAATACTGATCAGACCAAAATGGCCTACAAGTAATAACAAATGAAGAACAGAAAAGACACATGGGAAGATAAAATATTACATCGCCATCAGAGATGGTATTCAGCCAGGTGAACTGGTAGTGGTGGCGACTGCCCACCCACCCAGACGTCATCATGTCCTGTTTTTGACACTCTGTGCATGCACAAAAGGTCATGCACATGCATGAAGGTGATGCATGCACTCACATTTGCGAACCAGTAGCAAAGGTAAGTTCATTTCACCCCTGGATGGAAGTCAACCCTAAGCTGATAAGAATCAAACTTCTGGAAATGAACAGTGAGTTAGCCTGCAGTACTGCATTCTAACCACTGTACCTCCATGGCTCCTCAATAATAATAACTGGAATAAATGCTTACATTTCCTATAATCTCTAACATAGCATGGACATCTATAAAAACCAGAGTTTTAGTTGGTGTTTTTATTGTTTTAAATATCCTAGAATAACATAAATTAACACTTACAATAATTACTCTGATTTTTTTTTATTCCTTTATAGATGTAAACATTTCAAATTACATGTCTCATATTAATATTGACATAAACAGATGGTTAAAAATCTACATGAGTGTGTGGGAAAATAAATGCTGTGAAAATGATACTATTTCAAGAATGATATACACACTTAAAGAGATACCTATATTAATTCATTTAAAGTATTTTAAGCATATACACTTCTGAATAAGTTATCCAAACTTTGGCTTTCATAATTAGGGTTTCAGTTTTTGCAATTTTTATTTTTTTTGCCTGGGCATATATTTTGACTTTTTAATCTCTTTATAGCTCCATGAAATTCAACTATCAATTTCAATTGCCATTATAGAAATATGTTTAAAGTTATTTTGAAAGAAGGCTGTAAGATTCTGAGTGAGGAAGAACAAAGTTGTTATTTAACACTGGTAGATGAACAGGTAGGCCTGGGGCTAAAGAGTTTTTTGCCCCCCTTCTTGAATTGTATGATTGTTGTGTGTTTTTAAATTTTGTATTGTTATGTCTCATCTTTTTTATCCCCCTGTCTGTACCCCCTTCCCTGATTGAATTGTGAGCCGCCCTGAGTCCCCTTTGGGGAAAAGGGCGGCATATAAATGTAATCAATCAATCAATCAATCAATCAGTTCTGGGTTTTGGGATCCAGATCTGGTGATCTTTGATGGAATAATCCTTCTGCAGACTGATTTAGTGGGTAATCTGGGGTCTACCTGCACTGATTATTGTGGGCAATCTTGGCTTTTGAAAGGATTTGCTTTGTACCAGATACATCTATTTCTGGACTGAGAGGTTGTACTCACTGTCTGTCATGCCTTAACCCATTTCTGAACATGCTACGTATATATCGAGCTGTCCTTGAAAAACACTTGGAACTTTTAATTGCTTTAGAATCCAACGGTTTCCACCATTTTGGGCATTTCAAAGTTCAGCCATGTGGCCCACTGCTGCACAAGCTGCATCAGTTTTCAATATACTTCTGGATAGAATTCAAGATGTTGCTGATCATCTTGTCCTTTGTTGGAGAGCACCATATTATTTGTGGGAATGCCTATTACAACCATTACACCAGACTGGACAGATTATTACACATGTCCTAGAAAGTGTCAAATTTTTCAAGTTTTAATGTCCAAATATTAGGGGTTCTCAAAAGTTGTGACATGCCTTGCCTTGGTTATTTTAATGTAATTTAGATGTAATGACATAAATATCATAACTTTTTAACATTTTGTTTGTTTCATCTCAGGTTCCTCTTGCAGGACTCAGCATTTGTGCCCTCTCAGTGGTGGTATTCGTCTAATGCAAAAGCATCCTTCGGCAATTCAGAGCACTGCAACCCACTTGGCCTTTCAGAAAGTCATTAAAATTTGGCTTTCCCCCAGGTATTAAGGAGGATATTAAAAACCTTATATATCTGATTTGTTATGTGGTGCTACAGATCATTTTTCTTTGTGTTAAATTATTTTAAATTTGGTTGGCTAACAATAATGTTTTGTATTGTTTATTTGTAAACTGTTAGCTACCCAGAATTATATATATTTAAGATAAAGTCTGTATACATTTTCTAAATAAATAAATAAATAAATATTGCTTTATAAAATCCCCTATATCTTGACAGATCTCGGTTTCTTTTTAGTGGAAATATTATTGTATTTCTAGCGTATTTAAAATAGACTAGATCTATTTAAAATGTATTGATATCTGTTTAAAATTTATTGGGACAGAAATATAATTTCATCCTTATTCTCATGATAAATTTATATTCTAGGACAATTTTGACTTGCTGATTTTTTTTACATTTATGGGGGACACTAATACATAGGCTCAGCTAATTGCTAATAAAGTTTTCAATTAAGAAGATTTGAAGTTTCCATGTAGTTTGAAATAAAGATTTGGACTATCCCATACAATGTTAAAAAAAATATGTGTCTCTATGTAATCAATCTACTTTAAAAATAAAATAAAAAAGACAGCTATTGATATAATTTCAAACTAAAGTTCCTTGATAATGGAATGTAGGAATTGAAAGGAACCTTAGATATCATCTAGAGCAGTTGTGTTGTACAGTGGAACAATCTACAGCATGACATCCTCAGTAAATGACTTTCCAGGTGTTTAATGGAGAGCACACCCTGTCTTTCCTTACTGGGATCTTTTCCCCCCCTATTATCCGACCAAATCTGCATCCTTGTAATTTAAGATGAACCCTGTCTTGTGGAATAACATTCATTCACATCCTCCACTCATTGCTTCAAGAGAAAAAAAATCAGTGGGGATTATGTTGGGGTGATAGGAGAGATAGAAGTCCTAGGAAAAAAGAGAACAGAGTGACTGAATAATCAGACTTGGTTTGAGGCACACCCATCAAGACAAACACTTTTTACTCCATAATATAAAATGAACTAAAAATTAATCTTTTATGATTAGTAAAATGGTGTACTGATATTTTACAACATTAAAAATAATGTTAGTCAAGTATGTCCATGAGAAAATATTTTTACTGTGCCACTATCTTTATTAGGCTCATTCATTCACTCACTCACTCATTCAGTGCATGTCAGCTACAAAAGTTTTTGGATGTTATCATAAAAGAGAACCTGACCTGGGTCGCTCACATTGCAGCACTGGTCAAAAGGGCCCAGCAGAGATTATACCACTTGAGACTTTTCAGGAAACAATTGAATGAAAAACTGCTGGTGACCTTCTACAGCTGCACAATAGAAAGCATTTTAACTTAGTGCACCTGTGTATGGTTTGCCAATTGTACAGTGGCAGATAGGACAGCACTCTAGAGGGTCAATGTCATTGCCCAGAGGCTCATTGGTTACCCTCTTTGGAAGATCTTTATAGCTCCCTCTGCCTTAAGAAAGTTCAAAACATTCTTAAAGGTCCATCTTATCCCGGGCATCCTTTTTTTGAACTATTATTATCTGGCAGATGGTACAGGACATTAAAAACAAGGACAAACTGGCTGAAAAACAGCTTCTTTCCCAGAGCAGTAACTATATTGAATTCTACTGTACAGTGCAATATTAATGCAATATCAGGGGTTTTCAATTCAATTGTATATTGAATGTGAAGGATGTATGTTTTGTTTTATTTTTATAATGTATAATTAATTTCTTTGTATGAGGTACAATGACAATAAAGTAAACTAAACTAAATCATGCAATCACTGCAGTTAGGACAAACGAAATGGCACAAAAGATTATGCAAGATGAAGTGATCCAGAGAACTTAAAAACTGGCATACTTTTGACTCTGGTATGTAGGAACTTAGCTCTCTCTCTCTCCTAGAAAAATAAAATATCCTAGAAAATATCGAAAAGGCAGAATATTAAATTTCCATGGATGTGAAAAGGGAAAAACATGTTTTTAAAGACAGAGTAGCTCCCTGCAGCTCCCCCTCCCGCTTTGTCAACAAGCCATTAAAGCCTGAGCTAGTGTACTTTATATAATAAAGGAAGGATTAGCCTTCCAGAGAAACTCACTACATGGCATCTGGAAACTCAAATTTGGCCCCATGGGAATCTGACAACCAATCAGAATACATTTCTTACACAGGAACAGGAAACAGAGAGGTGGGGCCGTAAGAAGTATAAAGCCAAAGTTCAGGACTCAGGCCATGTGGTCCTGTCCACCATTAAACCATTTTTCTAAGCAGCCTCCATGTCTCCAGTGTCTTTTTCCCCACTTGGAAGCTGAACCCAGAAAGACATTTCTTCCAACATTTGGCACCCAAAGATGGGACTCCAAGCTAACTTAACCAATGGATATGGCCCAGGTAAGCCTCCCATGTTGGCACAGACCCTATTGAGTCTGTGGGTGGATTTTTCCATACCTTAGCCATTTGGAACTAGGTTTTAAAGGGCTTTTGAGTTGAACTCAAAGGCTGCTTGGAAAGAAAGTGAGTACCTCTAAATTTTAATTCTCTAAAATTTAATTTTAAAGCATGGCAAAGTGTGGGAAATGTGGGTATGCCTCCGTGTGTGTGAGTGATGGGATCCTTCTCCCGATCACAGCTGGATCTTGCTTCCTCTGTGTGTTTAACCAAGAGAGCCTGGAAAGTATTAGGGTCAGGCCAGAGCACAGGACCTTCTGTTAGGGAAAAGAGAGAGTGTGTGAAAATGGATGGAAAAGTTAATGAAATTTATTGTTGTTGTTGCAAAGGCCCATTGTATGTGGAAAAGAGTGAAGGGATGCTGGTACTCACTGCAAAGGGACTGACATCCTTCCAGGTCACCTTTTTGGATCTGAAAACCTTAGCGGAATTCCCTACAAGGAAAGGAACTGAATACTTTGTTGAGGAAATCAAAGTCCTTCCCGGAATCTTTTCACCCCCAAAAACTTATGGTGAGTCACCCAGATAGACCAAAGTGAGTCCTACATGTAAAGGATCATAGGAAGCATTAGCTCGTGGGTGACAGGAATTTCCCTTGGAGATTTCCTAGAAGCCTGGAACACCAGGCACATTTTTTTCTTGGCTGTTTGTTTCTTTCTATGCAACCACTTGGTTTGGTTGTTAAGATTTGTGCCTTCCCTAATTTAACAGATTTGTGCTGGGAATGACTAGGGTATGTAAACCTGAGAGTTCTCATTCCCCCCCCCCTCTTTTATTTTCTTCTTTTGTATATGTGTGTCTAAGTCTTTGTGCACCCTCGAGGTAATTGTAACTATAAAATGTCTCCAATCCAAAAAGACAAGAATTTTAAATTGTTCAAAAAAAGAAAAGAGTAAACTGGCAGAAATTGTGTTTGCTCCATTTGTTGGGCCCAGAAAAGTGAGTGAAAGGGGTGGGGGGAGCCTTTACTTTGTGTTTATTTGGCCATCAAAACAGAGTAAAGAAAACTATTCTTTCTTCCCTCCCTCCCTCCCTGTACCTTAAAAAAAATAAAGGGTTATGAGGAATGTTTTAAGCTCATTTACAAGAAAAGTTTCACCCTTGCATTTACTGTATGTTTAAATTATTTCATCTGCTCATCTCTCTGAAGCATGTGAATCCAGCTCCCCTTTTTTCATCTATGATATACCCAGCTTGTTACCATCTTATCTGTTTAGCAATTGCAATACTGATATATTTTTTTCAAACTCTGCCTGCAAGCTATCTAACCCCCACCCCCACCCCTTTACCTCTAATCCCCCAACCATGCCTTTTCTGTGGGAGAGGGGACCCTGTTTTTATGCCTTTCAACCCTGCACAGATGAGCAGAGCACATGGATCCAGATGCCTCCAGAGGAGACCTTCCATCCATTTGGGCCAGGAATTGGGTTTGGATCCAGTCCTCCACTGAAAGTCATCACAGCAATCAAAGTGGAGCAGACTTTCCCAAGCCTGACTGACCACCAAACCAGTAAACCAAGCCTAATGCCATCCAGCAGACATGAAAGAAATGACCCTAAGATGGACAAGTAAAGACTGAAAGACTCTTTTCAATCCCAGAAGACAGCTGTAAAGACTATGGGGGAGGGTGGAAAGTGATTATAAGGTTTTCTTTCTTTGCTCCTTCACAGAAATTCATTGTAAAGTTTTCTTTCTTGTCTCATTTACATTGTAATCAGTTTAATGTATTCATGTAAAAATTGTATTTGAGAATGGCTAGCACAGCACATTCTGAACACCTGATATTTCTATCTGGTGGAAGGGAGATTTGTCCCAAATGTCTATATTTTCAGTATTGTAGCAGCAATACTTCTACACATACACAAACACACACACACACACACACACACACACACACACACACACACACACACAGACCCCATTCAGAATTAGATTGAAACTATCTCCACACAAAACTTCTCCAAGGTTGATTTTTGCTGTGGCATTAAAGTCCAAGCAGTGATATCTCTCTGCTAATTCCATGGGGGGGGGAGTTCCCATCAGGCAATTCCCCCCTTGAAGAGTTAGCAGAAAGGATCTCAAGTGGGCAGCATCATCTGATGCTGTCCACTTGCCCAGTAAAGCAGGATATGTTGCACTGGTGGTCTCATAAGTAGGAACCCCAGGGCCCATTGTGTCTAATTTTAAAAATATTAAATAGCCAGGATTGCACACTGCCTAAACTCAATTTGGCCTCACTAAAATAAGAGCTATGGCAGGTTCAAGAACCATCCTTTGGAAATGCGCAGCCTGTAGTTCTTTAAAAGGCAAAAGCATGGCTGTGAAGAATTTTGGGACTTCTGTATGCTTGTAACCTGCCTGGAAGCTCGCAGAAAGTGATATCAAACATCTGAAAATAATTGGTATGGAAAATTGGATATTGTAAATTTCTTTCCAAAACTTTTGCCCTGGATGCTAGACCTTCATGGTTGAAGGCTCTCCTTTTGGGAGCCACTTATGCTTCCAGCCTTTTGCCTCTCTCAATGCCTTTCTATCAGAAAAAAAAAATCTCCCCGATCTGACCAATTTTAATCTTTTGCGAAGAATGTGTGTCACCCACTCGCATGTTTAAAAAAAAGAGTAGGAATTGTAGGAAGTTAGCTCCCTTCATCTCCTAGAAAAATGAAATATCCTAGGAAATATTAAAAAGGCAGAATATTATATTTCCCTGTATGTGAAAAGGGAGAAGCATGTTTTTAAAGACAGAGTAGCTCCCTGCAGCTCCCTGCCCCCACCTTTGTCAACAAGCCATTGAAGCCTGAGCTAGTGTACTTTACATAATAAAGGAAGGATTAGCCTTCCAGAGAAACTCACCACATGGCATCTGGAGACTCAAATTTGGCCCCATGGGAGTCTGACAACCAATCAGAATACATTTCTTACACAGGAATAGGAAACAGAGGTGAGGCCGACTTTCAGCTCTTCCTCCCGCTCTCTTCTTCACCCAACATTGAAGCATGTGATCACCTTTTCTGTACAGGACTCAGGCCATG